AAAAAAAAAAAAAAAAATTATATACAAAACTCTACTCTACATGTTTATTCAAAATTTGAAAATCTTAAAAATATCAAATCTTAAAATGTTATTTAACCCCTAAAAACAAAATCTAAATAATATCAAATCTAAATCTTAAAATCATATACAACGTTTTTGGTTTGGGATAACGATTGTTCCTGGCGCTTGTTTTCCATCACTGCGTAAGAAACCATAACGTCACGAATTCATAAGTATGCAATGCATATTTATATGGCTGCAAATTACGATGTTTATCAAGTAGAATGGTTCCTTTTACATTAACCGTACGTGTTGATCTTATAAAACATTACATGTATATAGCATGACATAAAATGATAAAAGTTGTATAATAAATATATAACGCTTAAATAAAATATTTGATAGAGAACCGGTTGACACCAATCTGACAGACTGGTAGTAACAATACAATTTTTTAAATACACTTTGTTACATTTAAAACTATTTTTAATATAAGTAAAAATACATATTTAAATAAAGTGGACATTTACCTAATAATTTAGGTAAACACTGGAATTTTTTAAAATTTTTCTATATATAATTAATATTTTTTAATAAATTTATTATAAAAAGTACTATATATATATATATATATATTAAAATATTAGTAATTTAAATTCTGATGCAGCGAATAAATCATTGAATAAATAACTTGATCGCTTATAAACAGTTCCCTCTAGATAACTTTGAATTTACCATAAATTAATAAAGTTGTAATGCAACAACGGTTTGTTCACAAAATATTAATAAAATAAAATATAACTATTCATAATTCCTTGAACATGTTGTCACAAAAGCATTCTTAATATGATTATTTGGAGTATGAACTACATTACATTTACTTTTGAAAATGTATTTTTAATATTAAAAATTATATTTAGTTCAATAATCGATTTGGTATGGTCAACTGACTCATAACTTGGTCACTCAGTATCAACCTTAATTGTGTCATTGACCCATAACTCGATCACTCGAGATCGACTTAGTATATAACTGCTCAATTGTTAAAACATTCGATATCAAATAAGTATAGCATTCATTTATATAAGTGAATACAAATTTCGTATACTATATAGATCATTTACACAGAGATTTATATCCATTTTTAGATTAGTTAAAAAATCATTTGATATGTATTTGTTTAGCAAATAAAGAATATCAATGCTGCAGATACTTTAAGATTCAATATGTACATTGTTTATTAGTTAAAGAATTTCGATGTATTGCTCGTAAATTTACATATTTAATTATACATATGCATATTTAGGACTCTACACATTTAAAATCGTATTCCAAAAAAAAAAAAAAAAATCGTATTTCAAAAGATTCAATATTATTTAAATAAACCAGAAAGTCCGATTATATATTAATTACATAATTGAGAGAAATTATTAATTAGGACATTTTTGTAAAGAATATTTCAATGCAATTTTCGATTAGCAAAATCGTATATAGATATTAAATAAATAATATTTCTATTAAAATCAGATTTTTAAATAATGTCTTTATAAAAAGTGATACTGAAAAAAATTATATATATATTTTTCTTAATCGATAATTAATATTGATTTTTAAAAAAAAAAATTAAGAAAGACAATTGTAAACTCTCGATAAACATAAAATTAAATCTCTAAACATTATAATATGCCAGAATTCATTCCATATAAAAATATCGGCCACAAATATGTTTAATTTTCCAAAGTAGATTTACTTCCAAAGGAAATGACAATAAAATAGGGAAATCTCGTAGACATTAAATCCTGCCTCCGCCCCTCACAATAACATTACTAACGAATAGTGGAATTATAGACGATTCTAAACATTATGAAAAATACTAAGGTCCTATTACGGGATGGTAACAACAGTATTTTTCACCATTTAATACACATATAGATTATGTTATACGAATAATTTACGGTAACCAACACTTACGGAACTATTCCGTCAACGGAACTGTAGTACTTTCCCAACTTTATACATAAAAGCATATTGCTCAAGAGTGGAACCGTATGATAACTTCAAACCAGTATTTAAAAGAAAAACATCCAAAAAAAAAAGGGCAAAAAACTAAACTAATTATAGCCCATTAAGATTAAACCGCCCTATATAGCCGCTCTGTGTCGACTTTAGCCTCAGCTGCACCAAAACAATGAATAAGATTTTCATAAGCCTAAAATTAAATTATTAAAATTGTGTGATGCATTTATTAATTAGAAAGAAAAAAATATTAGGAGATTTTATGTGTTGCAACGAGACTGTAGTATTTTCTAAAATATTATAATAAAGATAAAAATAAAAATACCTGATTGGTGTGCCCACATTTTTTCTTCCTGCAGTTGGTGGCCCGAGGGGGCAGCCGGCCATAGCATCTGATGATCGATGATGATGATTTCAAAAATTTGACAAAAAATATATGTATTTAGTTCGTCATTACAGAAAAAACATTAAAAACAGACAAAACAGCTGTGCTGAGTGGTTCAATAAATTGAACTCACATTATAGTAATAATAAATAAAAAAAATCAAAATTATGGAAATTTTAAAACTCACTTGCGGCAAATTTGCTTGTTGAGAATGTATTTATAAGCCAACTGCATGAGAGATGGGTCATATTTATAACGATTGGGAAGACCGCCCCTCAGCCTCAGAACCAAATGCAAAGTAGACTCTGCAATTGCAAATATTAATCATTCTTATTTAATTTGTCACAATTAAGAAATCTCTAATGGAAATTGGAATTGTAGGGAAAAAAAAAAATACACTTAATGAATATTGTGATCTTTTGCATAACCGGAAAGAAAGACAGAAATTACCTTTTTGAATGTTGTAATCGGAAAGAATCCGACCATCTTCAAGCTGTTTTCCGGCGAAAATCAAACGTTGTTGATCCTCCGGGATTCCTTAACGTTCCAAAAACCCGGATATATATCACAAATTTAGATATTGTGATCTATTTTTTTAGTCGTAACATTTCAATAAAATATATATGTATATAGAAATTAATTAGTTTACCTTCCTTGTCGTGAATTTCAGCCTTAACGTTGTCGATGGAGTCGCACGATTCGACCTCGAGTGTTACCGTTTTACCTGTCAAAGTTTTCACGAAGATCTGCATTTTTGTTTTGTTATGCAATGAGCGGTACGAGTTTCAGAGTAAGTTCATGTGGTGTAGGTTTTTATATGAGTTGATTTACTTGCCCGTCAAGATGTGCGTGACCAAAAAGAAATTCATCTTTTTAGTACTACTAAATTTGGTGACCTAAAAATTATTGACATCAATTTCCGGCTATGCTTGCAAGGTAATGTACTAAACCTAGTAATAGTATTGAACCCCTAATTAAAATTGGGATTTGAATTTTGGATTTTAAATGGGGATTTAAACAAAAAAAAATCTCATAATTATTAGTTGACAGATTTGGCATCAAGTTATCCACACTTATTCACCAATAGTGTATTGACACGTGTCCTACAATAAATATAATTTGGACAGGTGTCAATAAATTAAGTGACAGATGACTCCATAAGAGAATCATTTGATGACTCCATTGAATTTTTGTATTAGTTGAATAAGACCAACTCAACATTCGTCACATCTTTAATTTTTCACTTAAAAAAAAAAAAAGATGCTCGGATATAAAACTAACGAATAAAAATCCAATCATTTTTAACTAATCATTTTTTTTTAATTCAAAGTTAACTCAACTCCATTATTCTTAATATTATTAATATAATTAAATAATATCACACGATCGTTCTTAGATATTATATTACTCTAATTCAATATTCATCCATTTACAATCTTTCACTTAAAAAAAAAAAAATTGAATATTTTTTATTAGCAATTTAAGTCCTTTAGTTTTAAATTTTGTTGCTATTACAATCCCAAAAGACTATAATTGCAGCAAAATACTAAATTACAAGATCAAAAAACAAAAAACTGAAATATTGAAATTAAAAATGCTTCAGCGTTAAACCAACATGACTAAAAAATGCGATTTTGCCAATCTTAAAATGTTATTTAACCCCTAAAAACAAAATAATTTGAAAGGGCAAGCCCGTCTTATAAACTACTACAAGTAAATAGGTCACTTTATCCACAATTAAATCCAAAGCGATGGAGGAAAGAAGGATAGGAAATCCAAAACAGAGTAAACAAACCATCGGGCTGTGACTTGAGGACAGCATTGAAAGATCGCCATGGGCTCTCTGTTTCTGCATTCTGTACTGTCCCCGCCAACTAATTTAGAGCCTCCATTTTCGTTTTCTTCGCGGCGAAGTAGGTTCACTCGCCGAAAGAGCAGTACTACTTCAGTAGCTTGTTTAGAGAGAGAAAGTACAAAAGATGAAAGCTTTTGCAAGAGGAGAGCGATTCTTTACATGGGTTTTGCGGCACTACCATTTGTTAATAGTAATAATGCCCTAGCTGTTGAAGGATTTGCTGCAAGTAAGCTTCGCTGAGTAATTAATTTTTCAATTAATCATAATTTTTCAAGATTCTTATTATGTATGTTTTCTGTAATCTGTGGTTTAGTGGTGATGTTATGCTGAATGTTGTAGTTCGTGTCTGTTAACTTTCTTAATTGCTTTTTTTGTTGGAGTAATTTGTATCTGGAGATTATGTTAATCAAAAGGTACTAAAATGTTTTAGGGTTAGATTCATCTTTTTTTCTGTCAATTAATCTTCTGCACTTTTAGACAGACAAGACTGTTCATAGTTTTTTAAGGGGAAATGCTATGGTCCCGTTACGGAACCATTCCGTCGGAGCTTTGCAACCGTTAGATCATCATGTAACCGTCAGATATAGTTGATCTAACGGTTGCAAACTCGGACGGAATGATTCCGTAATGGGACTATAGCATTTCCCTTTTTTAAAAATCCTAAGGCTTAATGGTGTTTTTACATTGATCTGCTAGTTGCATTTTCGAGATGAGAAAGGGTAAATAAACTTTTTTATTTGTGATGGGGTAGTTTAGCACAATATGACATACTATGGAGCATAACAAAGTAATACTTCCATCATGTTGCTATGTCTGAAAGAAGGTCCTGCAATAGTTGCTGTTAATTTTCATGTTTCCTCTTCTGTACTACATCTACTTTTTTATTTAATGAAAACTCGATGTCGAACATTGGATATGAAGGTGAATCTTGCAATGAATTGGGATGATTTGTAGGTAATATATGCTGTCATAGTTTTCCTTAGTAACTTGCATTCCTGAAAAGAGAATTATATCAATTTTGCGTCGGATCCTTTAGAGTAGTTTTGAGCTGAAAATGAATTTTGTAATGTATAGATGAGAAAAGTTTGGTTTAATCATGTGAAAGTTGGACCGATCCAATGCCCACATATGGAAATCGATTTTTTTTTCTTGCACAGCGTTCAATTTCTGAATATACATTGTTAAACTTTGCACCTTTTGATTTTCTGCCACGAGAAGTTTTAAAGGCCTCTTCTTGATTCTTGTACGTTTTTACGTTTTTTTTTTTTTTTAATTTTTCCTTTATATTGGTATAAATATAATATGCTTGAAGAATTATACAGCTTAACTCATTTTATATGTAAAATCACTTGCCTTTTTTAGCTTTTTATGTTAACTATGTTTTGGTTTTGTGTTTTTCCAGAAAATAAAGAATTAGGAACTCTAAGTCCAAACCAAGCAGCAGAGGTCCGCATCTAAGCCATTACAATTGTATTGAAAAGGATTGTTTATGTGGCTCTCTAGTTTTGTATGCGCTAAAAATGCCCCATTTTGTTGCATTCAGCAAGCAGTTAAAGGAAATTCGTCTCAGATGCCATTTTTATCACTTCTTAATGCGCTTGGATATCTGGGCTCGGGAGTTCTTGCTGCTCTCTATGCATCACTGAAGAAGGAAAAAGCCACTTCAGATGCCACTATTGAATCTGTAAGCCTGCCGTCTGAGTGGAGTTTTAAGATTGATCTTAAGCATTCTTTTTTTTTTTAATTTTAAATTAAGCTAAACAGCGAAGCATAGTGTCTGTATGTCTGTTAGTTTGAGCTTAAGCAAGTCCTATTAATTGTTTTCATAGGAATTGAATTTGTGCTGTTTTCCAATGCATGATGTATTTTACGAGAATCATGTTACAAAATCATACTTTCGACTGAAAAATTTCCTAGATTGGAACTAAAATAATATTCTTTTTTTTTTCAGCAGATAATTGCCACAGCACCAATGCCTGATCTTTTTGCATTTGTTTAGAGGATTTTCCTTGCATTTCTTCGTAATTGGATTTTATCATTTTCATCTTGTCTGCACAGGTTAATTTAAAACTGAAAGAAAAAGACACTACTATTTCCCGCCTCGAGAAAAAGTTCGAGTCTGACCTATTAAATGAGAAAGAAGCTCGAAAGAAGGCACTCACAGAAGCGAATGAGGAAAAGCAATCTCTATTAAACCAGTTAGAACTTGCAGATGGTACAGTAAAAAGGCTCGGGCACGATTTACAAAAACAGAAAAAATTAGCCGATGACCAAACTATCCAAATTGAGGGTCTCCAAACTGACCTCAACGAGGCCCAGAAAAGAAAAAGGGCACTTGAAGAAAAATTGAAGGAAGTATTAGATTCGGTAGACGTTCTGCAAGAAAGGGTGAGTTTACTTTCATCAGAAAACAAGGACAAGGAAGATAATCTGGAGAGTGTAAATTCTAAACTTGCCGAAAAAGAAAACGAGCTTAATAGGCTGAGTGTCGTTTACAAGCAAACTCAGGATCAAATAAGAAGCTTGAATTTGGATATTGAAGGATTGAAGGGTTTAATCGGGGAAAAGGAAAAGGAGTTGGAACTGAAGAGTACGATTGTAGATAGTTTGAATGCAGATTTAATCGCTTCACGTGCTGATGTAGACGAGACAAGCAAAAATTTGGCTTTGATTGTGAAGGAATATGATCTTTTTAAATCGTCAGCAGAGAAAAAGGCAGCTGCAGATGCTGAACTTTTGGGAGAAAAAGAAAAAATTATCGGGCAGCTTCAGGAGCAACTTAAGGTCTGTCTGGCTGACGTGGAAGTAAAGAAATCTTTGATTTTTGATTTGACTTCCGAAAAAGATGGTTTAACTGAGGTTCTCAACAATGAACTGACAAACTTGGAGAATCTCAGGAAAGAACTCGAAATCACAAAGGAAACTTTGGAGAATTCAAGGAATGAAGCTTCTGATCTCGAAAAACAGTTCCAGGAATCGAGAAAGTCGTGCTCAGAGCTCGAAGCTGAAATCTCCAAGCTCAAGACCGAGTTTGAAGAAACTCAAAATTCATTAAAAATGGATTTGGTTGAAACCAGAAAGGTGGCCGAGATGTTATCTGAAGAATTAAGGTCCACAAAGGATCTCATAATTAAATCAAATGAAGAGAAAGAAACTATATCCCAAGAACTAGCTGCATTAGTGCAAAAACACAACTCCTTACAAAATGAACTTGTAGAAGCCCATCAAAAAGTCGAAAGTGCCGTTCGAGAACTAGAAGATGAAAAGACGACCTCGTCCTCGTTGCATGAAGAGATAAAGACGTTGACGGACCAAATTTCTGAAGACAACGAGAAAAGGAAGATTCTTGAAGTGAACTTAGAAGAGTCAACCGAATCACTCGACAAGGTAAATCATCATGTCTCGAATCTTTCCAAAGACTTGGAGGCTGCAAAATCCCGGGTTTTGAGCTTGGAGGATGAGAAAGATTTGATCTTGAAGACCCTTGACGAGCAGAAACGGGTTTCTCAGGAAGCTCGGGAAAATTTGGAGGATGCAAATAGTCTTATCACGAGGCTGAAGGACGAAAGGGGTAACTTGGAAAGCAGAGGAAAAAAATTAGAAGAGCAAATGGCGTCGGCGAAGGGGGAGATATTGCGGCTAAAGACTCAGGCGAACGATAAAAGCCAGCGGAAAGTGGAAGTGGGAAAGAAGAATACGGTGTCGGCCAAAAAGGTCAATCGGAAGAGGAAAGTCGACATGGAGAACGAGGATTCATAATTTTCGTCACGCATGTCTGAAAGGGCATTTTCGCCTTTTTTTGATTCTGTGGTTTTTCATATTCTTTTTTTTTTTTGGTGAACTGTTGATATAATGTTCTTCTTGCCTTGTAAATCAGTGTTATTGATGCAATGTGGGGGATTGGCAACTACTGATGTGATCCTTTCTGAATTATTGTATATTTTGGAAGAAGTGGAGCTTGGTGTCACATTTCTTTTTTATTTGGATATATGTATGAATGTTGGACAAATAGCTTTATGTTGTTGGGGTAACTTGGAAGAATAATTAAATGGAAGAAGTGTAGGAGTTATTAAGGTAAAATGGTTAGCACTGAACGATATGACCGCATAGCGCAGTGGATTAGCGCGTTTGACTTCGGATCAAAAGGTCGTGGGTTCGACTCCCACTGTGGTCGAGTTTCTTACCTTATTTAACATTTTTCAACCTTAAAAAAGGTATGTGTGGAATTTTGTTAGTTTGTTGTATTTATGCATTTTTGTCGAACGATTTTCTTTGTTCAGTTTGTCCGTATAGAAAGTAAACATGGGTTCCATTGAACGAAAATGGTTAATCAAATGTTGTTACATTATAATTTGTTTGATTCTGAATTTCATTTTACTGGGTTAGATAATGGATCATTGTCCTAATTCTTCAATCAATTTAGTTTAAAAAATCAATTTGCACAACATGTAATAAGTATTTTCAATGATAGTCATATTCCAATGCATAAATCTAACTATACTATCAATAAATTCAATTTGACAAGCAGTGCTGAGAATTCTTTCAGCGAAACTCGATCAACAAAAGGTACTCGTAAGTGCGCGAACGCCAGCAGGTGGGTCAATTTCCATGCAATGAGCATAGCAACAAAGAATGGCATAAACTTCATCAGCAATTTCAGCACAGGCTCTCAATTAAAACTGGCCTTCAAGAGTTTACACTCGTTACACATCTGCATTTACTGGAGGAAAGACACAAAAGGGAATGGTTTTATACTCGAATCCATCAGATATATCACAACCCAAACTGAATTTGGGATGTTAGAGGAACTAGAAAATGATGACAAAATCAATAGTTACCAAAACCGAGCGTTAGAAACAAAGTTATGGTTTACAGATGAAGATGAGACAACCCAGGAACATATTAAAGGATAGTTTGGATTTGCTTCACAATTAGTCAGTATCTCAGCTTAGACAACATATATTGTAAACAGAAACAAATATCAAGGTGGCACAAGTAAATTTAAATGTGTTATTATTTATATATATATTATTAGAATGAATTTCAAGACCTAAGACCAATGTAAACATACAAGAATGATTATTTAGGATAGAGAAGGTGCACAGTGCTCAATAGTTGGAAGCCGAAGCCAAAAAAACTGTCGGAAACGTATCTATGGAAAATAGTATATTACAAAACAATTTTCGGCCTTAACGTATAAGAAACAAGAGAAGAAAGTTGAGAATTCTTTTTAATGAACACAACCAAAAGTAAGGGATGACTGTGAATTGAAATTCATCTCCTGGGAATTGATCAAAGACATAAACAAAAAGGAAATTTACCTGATCGATATCTTGCAATTGGGATTTCTCGTAATTCACGCCTCATGCACAAATATTCACCCAACAATGCCATCAAAACTAGACTGCTAACGTTCACAACCCACCATGTTATAGATGAGGGCCAACCCCCGTATAAGAAGCAAATGAGAAGGTGGATTATGTAAAGAGTTGCAGAGAAATCCAAACATTTCTTTGCCCTTTCCACTATATAGACTAAAAATACTGCTCTGCCGAATAAAAGGTTAAAAGAGACAAAGAACAAAAATGATTGAGTATCATAATTTTCAAAATTATAATAGCAAATAACAAAAAAAAGGAATTACAAGTGAGTGAGCCGAGAATGGTGCTATGGTAAAATGTGATACAAGTCTAAAGGTTTAAGATCATTCTCATCTACATATCCTTTCAAAGTTTAAGTTGAAAATCAGCACATAATAAAGGTAATTGCAACTCGAGAAGTATGGCAGATGAAAGTTTACTTCATTAAAATAAGAGATTCTACATGATTCACATGGCAATTACATCCTTCTCTTACTGAACTATGTTTTCCATCTTTTGGATGTTCTGAACAGCTCCCACCCTCCAACCTCAAAATAAACTCCATAAATCTTCATCACCACCAACAATTTAGTCGTGCCCTTTCAACCCCTCAAGGATTAATTCGATATAGCACCCGTTTCCCAATAACATCAGAAAACAATAATTTCGATATAATCAAATAGTTAGATTTCTCCATAACAACTAAACCTATTAATCTAGACCACAGCATACCAAAGCATATCACATACTGATCAAAAATCTTCCAAATCAACAGAAATTAAGCAAGATCTCATGATCACCAAAAAAATCCAGAATTAGATTCACCAAACGATCATATCTCAAGCACCAAATACAATCAACAGGACAATATACAAACAAGGAATCACAAAACTCACCCGGCTATAGAGCTGAAGACAATGGAAGCAATAACAAACCAGCCAGTCAACGAGGAGGCAGTAATCGTAGCAAAATCGAAGATATACACGAGGCTCATCTTCGCCACCCGGGGGCCGACGAGAATTGACAGACACAACCCGAGGCTGAGATAGTACAGACACTGAAGGCACGCGATTTGAGCCACTATCAGCCACGGATCCCAGGTCACCGTACCATAGAACATGACTTAATTTCTCCACTCTCAGCCGAAAATTCTCAAACAAAATTCGAAATTTATTGATTATATTCACCAGAAGCTGAAGCAGAAACTCTTATATCCGATCGGATCGGATCCGATCCTTGGAGCTGAATTGAGGGACCAATCTCCAATCTTGCGCAACAATATTCGTACTGATAATCTTCAATTAAGACGAGCTACAGTGAACAAAGAATTTGAGGGTTTGGACTTAAATAGAAAAAAGGGAAATTTTGGTGTGTGTGAATTGTGATTGAAACAACTTTTTGTGAAAACTCGACTTCCCGTCGGTGTAAAACGGTGAAATGTGACTAGGGTTGGCTCAATGGTCAGCAGTTTGATGTCCCTTAATTAAAGTTTCGGGTTAATGCAGAAACCTCTTGTTGGAATACTCACCCACCATTGTCAGGTGTGTGATTCGGGTCGACCACCGGATTAGTCGAGATTATGCTCCGAATACCGTGGATGACTAAAAAAAAAAGGGTAAAACGTGAGCATCATATATTTTTTTTACCAAATATCATAATCATATTTATATTATTTCTTAAATAAGACATATAAAAATCTTTCCTCTCTTTTTTATTTATTTTATAGTCATTTTTTATTAAGAAAAAGTTAATTTAAATAATATAATGTGATAAATATGATATATATATTTTTTTAAAAAAATTATATTTTTATCATATTCAAATTTTCGTATTTACTCATTTTATAAGTCAAAATATTGTTTTTCGTAATTTTTTTTAATCATTTCTTGTCAAATATAAATATATCATTCATAATAAAATTTACTTATGAAAATCTACATTTTTCCTCTCTTGCGAAAATCTTCCAAATTTGTTCAAAATAAATTTTCAAAATCAACTTACCATATTAGTGATTTAATATTTTTTGTTTAGCAATGAAAATGTTAAAAATAAAAACTTTAATTATTTTTATCAGATCACCTCAAATCTTCCGTATTTATTCCTTTGTTTGATCAAAATGTTGAAATTTCATAATTTTTTAATATTGGTGCTTTTAGTAATTTATTTCTCAAGTAAAAATATATCATTAATAAATTATAATTTAAACGTGATAATACAATAATTATTATGTTTCATTGAAAGCTAAAGTTTAAAAATAGCGTTAAATTTTTTGGGCTCTTAATTGATTTGATCTATATTTAAAATTACAAAATAGATTTTTTTTAAAAAAAATTTAAAAATTTCATCACATTTTTCAAGCAAACTATATATTGTTAATGATGTTTATCCCATTTTTGTTGCGTTTTTCATTATTGTTTTGTCTTTCTTTTTTCCCCCGTTTTAGTTTTTTCGTTGGTTTTTATTTGTTTTTGTAGTTTATTGTGTGTTTTGCTCTATTTTGATTTTTCGTGTGTTTTTTCGATTTTTCTTCATTTGTGTTGAGTAGGTGGGAAGCTTCGAAAGGATCGGATTTTGGGTAAAAATTGACCAGACAAGCATAATTAATTAGAGGACCATAAAAAAAAACAGCACTCAATTCCAAGTTAAAGTCGCGTGGAGTCCATCTATGCACAAACGTGTGAATTGTGACAAACATCTATGCACCAAGTTCATGGGAGTGTAGAGATCTATGTTTATGTTTATTTGTAAAGATTACTAATTGCTTAATTAGAAGTCTTATTTAAGTAAACTTACCATATTAATAAAATTATATTAGTGTTATTTAAATAATCAGAGAATATAGTAAGTTTGCTTGTTGTATATAGAAGATTGACTCCACTATGGAGCCAACTGTTGGCTTCATAGCAAAACCGCATGTAGTAATATCAATAAAGTGATGTATAGGCTATTTTTTAGGAGTTAACTCTCCGGTTTTGCTATGGAGCCATCGGATGGCTCGGCTTATGGAGTCATCCATTGTTATTCACAAATGATGTATTGACACGTGTCCTGCAATAAATGCATATTGGGCATGTGTCAGTATATAAAATTATGGATGGCTCCATAACGGAGCCATCCGATTGCTCCATAGAATTACTCGTTAACTCTCATGTATCATATTTATACCTCCTTATCTACTAACAAAATTAATGTGAAGAAATGACGAGTGAAAATTCTTTCTTGTTCCAAACATCAGACATTTTTTTTTTCTTTTCATATTTTTGTTTTCACCTCTTCCCAACATAACATGTTCCCAAGTCCCAACACAACATGAGAATGTAACTTCAGTTGGAAAGGCTTTGTCTACATTTACTAGTACACACACCACACCACTAACTTAATCTACACTTCATAGCAAGCGAAAGATTGAGAAAAAAGCTCGTCAAGCTTTCCATGAAGACGAAATGTCGGCAACAGCTTCTCCAACCGTCAGATACAAACCTTCCAATCCGAACGACTCCAAGATATTCGACTGATGCAGCTTTTCCATTACACTCCCCACCGGGTTTGCCAAAACAAGCTGCATAACAACAATAAATCACTCGATACGAATTTCTTCCTTTTTATTTTCCCCCTTAATCACAACAATAATTTTGAAAAAAAAAAATAATAAAAAGCTGATATGGTTTTCTAATTGATTACCTGAATTGATCGTTGGTCGAGCAACTTTCTGAGTTCACTGATTGTATCAATACCACTTGTGTCGATTCCAGACACAGCTGATAAATTAAAAGAAAATGAAAAAAAAAAGAACAAAATATGTATCATTAAGAAAATATTTTGGAGAACGATAGCAATCGGATTATCTAAATTGAACTGGATATTTCTTTTCCGACTGACCAGTCATATCAAGAATCACACATTTCATTTGGGCTCTATCGTTTGATGCTAGCCACTCTTCCTCTTCCCTAATCCATCTCAAAATCCTGCATATATAAGGAAAAATGGGAACTGCTGCTTAAGAGTTCATTCATAATAAACAAGGAAAAATGTTATCATTTCTAAAAGTGACCTCTCTTGCAGGTAAGTAGAATTCGCAAAGTAAATTGGCGCCTCAACAGCAAGTATAAGGAAAGATGGAACTCTAGAAGCTTCTTTGTATCTGCTAAGATTTTGGTATATTTGAGTCCCTGGAATATTTCCCAAAGCAGCCGTATTTGGCCTCGTGACATGCAATAGGATCTTGAAAACCGATATTCCAACCTACAATTTTTCACAAAAAAGAAAATATACATTGATGCGGCCTTTCAAAGACGACAAAAACAACTGTGATAATTATTAAAACTACCATGAAGATTGGAAGAATTGACAAAAAGACCCAGTAAATTTCAAAAATTATTTACAAAAACCACTCCCGAAGTTTGATTTTATCATACATTTTGCGACAGCTATTAGTTGATACAACCAAGTTAGCCAACTTATTGAATTTTTTATTGTTGCACACCCTAAATAGTCCTCAAAGTGATTTCTGTAATTTTAATATGTTTGGGTGTAATTTTTGTAATCATGCAAAATTCTTACACGGATTCTAGATAAAGAAAGACTTACTGCAATAGCAAGGCCAAGGGGTACAGAGATAAAGAGGACACCAAAGAAGGAGCACAAACAAGCCACAAAATCGAGCTTATCAACTTTCCACAGCTTATACGCTGCTTCATAGTCAATTAGGCCGATCACGGCTGTTATTATAATAGCAGCAAGGATCAAATTCGGAGTGTAATGAAAAAGTGGCATGAGAAATAACAAAGTCACAAGAATAGCCGTCGCCATTATTATATTTGACACGACAGTTTGTGCCCCGGCATTGTAGTTCACAGCAGATCTCGAAAATGATCCTGAAAGATAATTAGCATTTGTCAAGAGAAAATGAGAAATCAGGCAAAAAAATAGAGTCAACTGGAAAAATAGATTACTTACACAAAATTACCTCTGAAATTTGGATAATTACAAATCAAACCCAACGTAAATTTAAAATTTACTAACATGGCCCAGAATATTTTTAAAATATACAAAGACTCCTTGAAATTTTGTTTTGCATAGTTTTTTGTGGGGCAAGTATATATTTCTTATGAATGTAAGGTGCTTGAAATGTTTTTCGCTTATGAAAGGAAAACCTATAAACTAGAATCAAATAGCTAAGTTCCTTTTTTCAAAAAAAAAAAAAATTTAAAAACTTCTATGAGTTTTCTGTAAATACACCAAATCTCCAGGCTATTTTCATAAATATTAAGTGAATACAAATATGCTTGTGCTCATATCTAGTGATAAAAAGGTAGCAGTCTCCCATAATTACAATTACACCCTTGGTGGATTTGTTGAGATGCTACATTGCATTCTCAATTTGAGGAATTACCTAGGTAACTAAAAATCTGAAAGATCGGTACAATTTTTGGAAGATAAGTGGAATTTTTTGTAGTTAAATCGAACTTGAGGGGTGCTTACATAATTTGGCGAACAAGTTTTACCTGTTGTAACGTAACATGAAGAACAAGAGCCAGCCATGTTCATAAGGCCAATGGCCATCATTTCCTTGTTTCCATCAACTTGGTAATTTTTTAGGGATGCAAATGTCCTCCCAACAGCAATTCCTTCCTAAAGCAAACCAAAAAAAAAAAGATAGTATAATTAATGTAACATTCTTATTTTCTTTAGTACACTTTCAGAGGTACTTCATAATTCTATAATATTGTCTGAATCTTTTGTATTAGCTAAACTTAAGAGGTAATATTTGTATGAATCATGTGAGTTAAGAAAAATTGATGAAGGGAAAAAAGATAACCATGTAAACATATGATTAAGAGTTTACCGTGAGAGAAAGCATTCCAGTTAGAATCCCGGTTTTGATCGCTAGACCCAAGTGGGGCCCGCTAAAATACAACATGTTTGTAGATGGTGGATTTAGACCCTTAGGCAAGTGCCCAATCTGTCGAGATAAATCTCTTCAATCAGCCACATTTAATTTAAATTAAAAATAAATTGCACGTTAAACAAATTCATTATAGAAACTTTATTAATCTTACAGTTTGTATCATGTGTAGTTTGGATTTAAAGCAGGCGACTAAAATGGTGGAAAGAACAACTGATGCTAAGGGCGCAGCTGCTGAAATCCAGAACAAGTTTGGCTTTCTAATACTCTGCATTAGTTTAAAAGATAAAAGCGCCGAATGTAACAAATAAACCATTGAGTAATATATTGAGTTTAAGGAAAAACGACCATGAAACGAACACTTACAATTTGCCTAGTCATCAGTAACAATATTAAGAAACTAACTCCAATCACAATTGTCTGCCAAGACCACTGCATATGTGAATAGAATACCACAGAAAAAAAAAAAAAA